GTTTTTGATTATTGTTTAAATTATTAGAGACACAAAATGCAGCTCCGACACAATTCCAATATAATTGAGAGAACATTTTAACGAGAGTTCTGAGAAGAACTCTATGATGATTGAATGAGGATTCTAGGTCCACTTTTAATAAGAATTCAAAATTAGTTCTGAAATTTTGCTAAAGGGAGCTCTGATGAAAATCCCGTGAACTCCAAAGATGGTATCTGCGGATATTTCTAAAAGAATTCTGGTGGGATTTCTGAAAAAAACTTTCAAGAGAATTCTAAAGAGTTCGAAATAAATTCCGAGAAGAATTCCAATGGAATCGAATTTTGAGGGTTCAATCTCAAAGGAATTCTGAGAAGAGTTTCAAAGTTATTCTGTGATGGATTTTTGTTTTGAGAATTCTGAGAAAATACTATGGGAATTCTAAGGAGAATACGAATTGAATTTCCAAGTGAATGCAGGGGAGAAGTCCAAGATTATTCTAAGCATAAATTTCTAACGAAAATTCAAATGTATTTAAAATAGATTTATGCAAGAAGCCCTTCAGTGAGTTCCTAGAAGAATCAATAAAAAATCGAAATTAATCTACTTTAACTAATCATGTGTTATTACTTCATGTGTGAATTTAACGATTTACATAGTCGAAGATACTTAACGTCAAATATCAGACTTGAAGTGCAGATTTTATACGATAGATGAGGAGATTAAATTATAGAGTTGATAGCTCCGTTATAGTGCGGCAGTGTGAAATTGTATATACATAGTAGAAAGCGAGCAAGGACAATATTGAGGAAGGTACGAATCCGGTAGTTGTTTACGTCAGATGGCGACTTGAGTGTGAAACAATCGATAGAACTGTTTCCGCACATTGGAGGTACATGAGCAAATCGGTGATCAGCCCTTTTGGCAGTGGTGGCAGGGGAAACACCCATCACCATCCCTCATTAACGGATGAGCTTGGTAAAGGAGCTGTTCTACCCGATTCGTACCATCCTCAACATTGTCCTTTGTTCGCTTTTTCTACTTTCTATACACAAATTTCACAGAATCATCAAGTTGCCATAAGGCACGGAATGAGACTATTGCATGGCTGGGTAGTCAAGGTCTTCCATTCGTTAGTCACTTCAGGTGGATTAGAACAGGTTTAGGTGGGCGTTGGCCAGATTTGGATTTTTCAGATGTAATCCTGGATAGGACCCTGTCATTGAACGTCGCGTGGAAGTGGAACTTAATGAAGGCCTAAGTACTTTTTCGTAGTTTTTAGTTTTCGGATTTGAAATATCGTCGGTTACAGTGGCCTGCTTACTGAGCAGAATAACGCGGTCCCAGGTCATTACATATCAAAGAGATTTATGGTAAAATCGCTTGTGTATCGTGTATTTTGCGAAACTCGTTGTTGTCGTTGGTTCCGGGTTTGAATGGATACACAAATTTGAGCAACGGTATTATGTGATATGAGGGGCTCGGTGGCCTTAGAGCAACCGTTTTTGCTTACTGAGCAGAACATCATGAGTCTAATGTCAGGCCGATTCACATTCAAGATTTGTCAATCGTTTTATTTGTTAATATGACTACATGGTAATAACAGCAACTCGGTGATTAAAAAGGTGCTCGTCTGCCTAGTGGCAAACGTTTTTGTTTACTGAGCAGAAGACCGTGGGTTTAGTCCCATGCTTCTTCGCGTTATATGATCGTTAAGACATCAATTCAGCTTATCGTTTACCAAAACGAACCCTGCTGCAAACCCAACTCTCTTATCCAACATCCCAGTGATTCCTCGTGGAAGTGCGGTATTTTTTCATACTTGTTAAGTTCAATGCTACTATTTAACAGTGATTAATAAAATTGGACCACCAACGAAGATTTTTTAAAGTCCTTTATGTTGATTACTTTTGTTATGTTCTGGATTATAAGAAACAATTTTGAGAAATTATATTATACAAAATCGATGGCAATAAAACGTCTTCAGGCTCTACAAATTGGCCATGAGCCCAGGAATTTTTCTTTAACTTGTGGAAACTTCGTAAAACTTCAAATAGAAGTTCAGGGAAGATCATAGAAATTAAGTAAACTTGGTGGATATTCTGGGAAATTCATAGACCTTCAGAAAAACTCGTAGAAAAAAGGAACTTGGAAAAGTTCTGAAAACTGCGTAGAAGTAGAGAATTCATTTAAATTTGAGGAGCTTCGTAGAAGTTAAAGGAACATTATTTTATTTTAGGGAAGCTCATTGTTGTTCGAGAACCTCTACATAATTTCAGTTTTTTAGCCTCATGGACTTGGAATAGTTGTTGAAATTCAACAGCAAACTTTGTAGAAGATTTTCGAATTTCGTAGCATTTTGAGGAGCTGCGTAAAACTTCATATAAGTGTAAGGAATTTTGAAAAAGTTCAGGGAATTTTTTAAAAAATCTAAAAATAGTTCAATAAACTTCTAAGAACTTCAGGGATCTGCGCCTCAACTTCGTTGCAGTTTTTCAGAGATCTTACTAAAAAAAAAGCCCCATGAACTTCTTGGAAGTTTTGGGAATTTCGCTAAATTCAAGGAACTTTTTAGGTGTTCAATAATATTTGTAGATGTCTTAGGTGTCTTTCCAGAATTGCAAAGATGTTCAGAGATCTTTGTAGAATTTAAAGAAATGGAATAAAAATATGGAATGTGGAATAAATTCAAGGAACTTAGTAGAAGTTTAGGAAATTTTGTAATACTTAAGTTTTGTAGATGTTCAGGAAACGTTGCATAAGTAACAGGATATTCTTTCAATCATCCTTCCTAGACATCAGGAAATATTCGAAAGATCTCCATATAGTCCAAGATATTAGTAAAGTTAATTGGATATTTGGTAGGTTGTAGGTTGATCAGGAAGTATTCAAAAGTTTTCCAGCTAATGGAATGAGATGGAATCTTGAATGATGAATCTTGATTTTATGGCCATATTTGTACATTCTCTATAGGGAAGACCCGTGCCTTGGTGTTATAGCTATATTGTCACAAATTTCACTCCAACAGCTAAATTCCGGGCAGAAATTCCAATTTCTGCATATACCTAATATGTATAAATTTCTTTCTTTTCGAATATCCTTTTTAATTAGTAACAAAATCTTGAAAATATATGGGTTTGGGATCACAAAACTATTTTTATTTTAACATTAACAATGTTAAGGATTGTGCATCTGCAGCATATGTATGTACGTAATTAGTGGATTTGTTAGTTATTTCTACGCTTTTTAACAATTTTCGACATTTCTCATTTTTTTAAATAATTTCTTGTTAAAAATCAACAGCATTGCTATCGATGCGTAGAATTATCTATATTATATTTCTGATCGATTGGTGATAACATTATTGAAATTGGTCCAGGAGCAGCTGAGTTATTAACATTCAAAATCTTTCATAATTTCGTTACATGTTCCATTTTCAGTTTTCACAAAGTGTACCCCACATAGAAATCACCGGCGTAGTCCTACGTCGAAAAATTGTGCATCTTGAACATTTTCCTACGTCCTAAATGCATTAAATTTTATTCTGTGTGCACCTTACCTTGAAACAGCCAGAATTTCATAAAATTATAAAATTCAAACAATTTTGGTTCCTATGTCTGAGATTTGACTGCTCAATAAAAAAATCTAGTTACAAAATTCATGAAATTACCTTACCCAGAGTATTTTCTTAAGTTTGAGATGCTTACATTTACAAGATTCAAACTGTGATTTTATTACAAAAAAACATGAACAAACGATCATTGCTTGTTCAAAGGTCCCAATCGTTGTTATGGAATAAATATAATCAAATTTATTGTTTCACCATTAAAATAATTGTAAGCCTCAATGTCATATTATTGGTGACAGAAAAAAAATGTACCCACTAATAAGTTGCCTTGGACGCAATGTGTGTGAGTTTTTAATAACCCGTAGTTTGCAAAATTAAAAAAGTGCAGTAGGCCCCCCTTCGGCCCTCTCCAGATAAATTTTCTAGCTACGCCAATGCTCATTTAAATAAATACATATCAAAACATGTTATCATCATGATTTCAAAAACACAATTTGATATCATTTTGATATCCGACTTTGCTCGGGTACCTTAATTGCTTATTTTTGACAGATGAAATACACGTATCTGTATGCCTTGTATTAGTTGGAACACACCATAATACCAACCGGTGAGCACTCGTGTTTATTTCAGTTACCGTGGGGACGTAATTTGTGATTAGTCCCGGTCCCTTTCAAATTGTATCATTATTTATGTACGGTCCTTATATTTGAAATGACGTTTCACATTCATCTAGTGATGGCCGATTTTCATTCGAATAATCGATTAACGAACCGAAAAGTAAAATATTTGCAATCGGTTATATCATGCCGATATAAGCATTAACTCCTCCAGAGGATCATCACCCATCGTTTCAAACATGTACTGCACTCTCATTGGTGGAAAAATGACAGCACAGCGAACAAAAAATAATCGATTAGTTGTTAATCGAGTAGATAAAAAGGGACATCTCTGATTTTGGTATGATTGTTTTGATAAAAGAGAGCGCAAAATTTCATCTCTTCCGTTTTATCAATACCACAAAATTACCTTGCATACGGGGGGTATTCATTGGATGAAAGGGACCGTGAAAGAGGACACTAAAATATAGAGTTTTTCTTCCGACTGTTTCATCTTAGTATTCTTCTTTGATACTACGAACGTATATACATAACTGGTACACCTACGCGATGCGCTTTGTGAACGTACCCCGTCGTCTCTTAGTTTTCAACCACGCGCCTCCATTGGTTTGAAAAGAATGAAGCACACCACTGCGTTAACAGTTTCCATCTCATTTAGTCAAAGCTAATTAACTTATTCCCAAATCGTAATTTAATTCTTCTACAGCAATTGAGCCTGGATAATATATTAGGTTAACAAACCCAATGTATGTTTACGCTAGTTAATTCCTTATCATTCACTTTACATCTCTTCCATCCGTTATCTGCTGCCGACCCCAAAACAAACAAATCAGGACCAGCACATTCCCCAAGCTGCAACCGTCGCACACGGCAGCGTCTATCTCGAGCGAACCGGGCGGCCAGGAGCCAATCCTCCCGGCTGTGCTCGAATTCCCCGAACAGCACCAGGAAGCGTTCCTGCAGGCCGTCATCAGCGAACTCGATGTCAATTCACCTAATTTTAAGCTAGCTCCAGTGTACACACTCTACCTGTGCGCGAGGTACGTATCCAAACCCCTAAGTAGTCCTCAAAACTAGACCTTTTTTCATTGTTTGCATTCCTTAGGTACCGCGCCTCCACCCACTACCGTCCCGACCTGCAGCCAACCGAGCGTGCCCACAAGTTAACAGTATTCCTTCATCACGTTGCCAACCTGATCCAGAACGTCGTTCAGGAGCAGTACACCGATGCCAAAATCCTGTCCTTTTGGATGGCCAACAGTTCGGAGTTTTTGCATTTCCTCAAATCGGACCGGCACATTTCGGCTTTCAGCGTCCAGGCGCAGGAAGTGCTGGCCGAAAGCGTGCAAACCGCATTCCGCAACCTGGTGTCAATTTTTCACGTCGAACTATCGCAAACGCTGAACCAGTTTCTGTCGGAAAACATCGACCACGATTCCGCCGCCGGGCTGGTCCTATCGGTGTTGGGATCGGCCATGGCACTGCTGCGGCGGTGTCGTGTAAACGCTGCCCTAACGATACAGCTGTTCTCGCAATTGTTCCACTACATCAACGTGGTCTGCTTCAACAAGGTACGTGTGTGGTCGGTCACCTGTTGCCGGTCGGTGCTAAATAATGTATCACTTTATTCACAGTTTGTCACGACATCACACATGTGCACCAGTGCCTGGGGCAAAGCATTGAGCGAACGTCTCTCCCTGCTGGAACTGTGGGCCGAGAAGCAGGGTTTGGAACTGGCAGCCGACTGCCATTTGGCCAAAATCAACCAATGCGCCCAGTTTCTGCAGGCACCGAAAACGTCGATCACCGAAGTGCAGCAATTAGCGTGCTCCTGTTTCCGGTTGAATTCGCTCCAGATGGCGGCTTTGCTGTCGCAGGAAACCATCCCGCGAAATTTGATCGATACAGCCGTACGGATGGCCGAATCCGTTGCCGACGAGCTGAGTCGAGCGGATGGGCGTGAAATACGGTTAGAGGAGTCACCGGAACTGCCGCTGGCTCTGCTACTACCCGACGATGGGTTCAGTTGTGACGTGGTTCGAGGCATTCCCGCCGGGCTGGTTGACTTTCTCAGTCCCTTCCAGATGGCAAACATGTGCCGGTTGGCATCGCAACCCACTAGCATCGGACTGTGGACGGTGTATATGCATCAGTTTAATGTAAGTATAGTTTGCGTGCTTGTTTTGGACGTGAAAATTGAAGTTAATTATACCGAATTGCAGCAGGGTCGCTCGCCCAGTGTCATGTCAAGCAAGCTTCCGCAGCCGGAGATCCAAATCATCAAATTGCACAAAAATGCCAACGGAATGGGCCTATCGATTGTGGCCGCCAAGGGAGCCGGCCAGGAGCGACTGGGAATCTACATCAAATCGGTCGTCACGGGTGGAGCAGCGGATCTCGACGGTCGATTGCAAGCCGGCGATCAGCTGCTCGAAGTGGATGGGCAAAGTCTGATCGGAATCACCCAGGAAAGGGCAGCGGACCATCTGGTCCGAACCGGGCCCGTCGTAACGCTAAAGGTCGCGAAACAAGGTGCCATCTATCATGGTTTGGCTACACTGCTGCAGCAGCCAAGCCCCGTCATTCAGCGCGGTAAGTACCCACTACTGTTCCCTCTACAATTATGCAAATGAATGAAACGCGGTGGAGGATTCCATTTTATTCGCCAGAAACAGTAGCTATTAAATACTAACCAGATGACATTTGCTAAATCATTCCCATGCTGCTTGTTACACCGCACCCGGTGGCATATTGATCCCTGTAATGGTGAAAACCGGTAACTTACACTACTCATTACCTAATCGCTTGAATGCATATGCTTTGCACGAATTTAATCCTGGATTTAATAAAAAAAATAACAGAAAACGAATTCAATTGCAACGTGTACGACAACGACGGAAACCAGCGGTACCACTTTGGTCGGTCCCACGAAAGTCTGAACTTTCACAGTAGCTCGCACAGTTCCATGTCCCGAAGGGGATCCCTCCGGCAGCCGCTATCGCCAGTGATAAAACACACCACCTCTACCCCGTACCTTTCCTACCACGATGCGTACCGGAGAATGTCCAATCCGGACATTAGCCAACCGCGGCGGTACAGCCTGTCGCTGTCGAACGACGATATCCTGTCCAACGATCAGTTGCAGCAGATTCACTTCGATCCGCGCTACCGGGACTGTCGGTCGACCGTTAGTCTGAATAGTTTTAACTATCGAACCAGAAGCAATAGCCTAGGAAGCATCGGGAGGATGAACGGTGCACCGCAGATGGGGACTGCATCGTCTTCCACCATTCTGTTGGGTGGCGGAAGTGTAATGAAACCCGTGCTGCGGTACGATACGCCTCCGTCGATCTACGTGGAGGACTACGACTCCAGAGGTAGCAGCCACAACAGCAGCCGGGAGATGATCAAGATCGATGAAACACCGGAACCGGAAACGCCGGATCTGACGATGGACGTGCCGGTGTTTGAACTGAAGGTGGACGCACCGTCGACCGAGTCCAACATGTCGTTCGTGGCCGATGTGAATCTGGACGACATCCCGTTCATCGATGACGACGAGGACGAAGAGAGGGTAGGATGGCAGTTTCTTACATTGATGTTGTTCTTATATAGTGATTATGGAAAGATGAAGTTTGGTTTTTCGTTCCGGTCTTCTAGAGACACCGTTTGCCACATGACGCGCCTTGCAAGAATGTGGCTTTCTGTGTGTATGTGATATTATAGCGGTTAGGTGCTTTCTGCATCTAGATGCACAGATGGGCTCACAGAATTGATCTTGATCCTTGCAACAATATACCCCCATCCTCGTATCCTGGATTTAGTGTCGTTCTTCATTTGTGATGCATCTTCATTGTGGTGATGAATCGTTGATTGCTTTACTTCTGCCCTTCTTTCGGGTTTGGTTGGATTTTTCCAAATTCCGGAAACGCCGGCAGGTCAATTTCCCGATCCTCGGAATACCAAGAACGGTAGAAAACGAAGAGAATTTTCGACACTCCAGGAAATTCCGGAACGTCGATAGTGCAGGAGCTTTTGGATCATCTGGAACTGGAAGAACTCTAGCTTTAAACTTCAAAAACTCCCGGAGCTACGAGTTGTTCCGGAACTCCTAGGAGTAAACAAAAAAATAAGAACTCTGAAAAACCCTGGCACTTAGAGAACATTCATCATACGCGAAATTCTCAAAAATCTCAGTATTTCTAGAACGATCAGAATCTACAACTCCCCGAAATTCGATAGTTTTGCGACAGCAGCTCCAGGAGATTCTGTTGTTTCACAAGTTCCTTATTCTGAAGTGCTGGAAGTTTCCGGAGTATCGAGAATTCTGAAGGTTCTCAAAGTTCCTGGATTTACCATAGTTTTTTTTTTTTTTTTTTACTTTCCATGGAGTTCTAAAGATTGCTCCGGATTTTGTTGTTGTTCTGAAGTTCCTTTTTCTGGAGTACTGGAAATTTCCGGAGTATCGAGAATTCTTCAAATTCTGAAAGTTGTCAAAGTTCCTGGATGTACCGTATTATTTTTTTATAAATTCTTCGAAACTCTAAACGTTGTTCCAGGAGTTTCTGCTATTTCAAAAGCACCTTATTCTGGAGTACTGGAAGTTTGCCGAGTATCCAGAATTCTTCAAGTTCTGAAAATTCTCAAAGTTTCTGAATCTACCGTAGTTACTTTTACATTGCTCGGAGTTCGGAAGGTTGCTCCAGGAGTTATTGCTGTTTCAAAAGTTCCTTATTCTGAAGTGCTGTAAGTTTCCGGAGTATCGAGAATTCTTAAAATTCTGAAAGTTCTCAAAGATTTTGGATTTACAGTATTTTTTTAACATTCTCCGGATTTCTAAAGGATGCTCCAGAAGTTTATGCTGTTTCAAAATTTTCTCTTTCTGGAGTGCTGGAAGTTTCCAAAGTATCGAGAACTCTTCAAATTTTGAAAGATCCCAAAGTTTCTGGATTTACCGTGTTGTTTTTACATTCTCCGGAGTTCTAAAGGTTGCTCCAGAAGTTTCTTGTGATTTAATAGTTTCGTGTTCTGGAATGCTGAAAGTTTCCGGAGTATCGAGAATTTTTCAAATTTTGGATTTTCTCAAAGTTTCTGGATTTACAGTAGATTTTTTTTTTACATTCTCCGGATTTCCAAAGATTGCTCCAGAAGTTTATGCTGTTTCAAAATATCCATTTTCTGGAGTGCTGGAAGTTTCCGAAGTATCAAGAATTCTTCAAATTCTGAAAGTTCTCAATGTTTCATGATCTATCATTTTTTTACATTCTCCGGAGTTCTAAAGGTTGCTCCAGGTGGTTCTGCTGTTTCAAAAGTTCCTTATTCTGGAGTGCTGGAGGTTTCTGGAGTTTCGCGAATTCTTCAAAGTCTGAAAGTTCTCAATGTTTCTGGATTTACCGTAGTTTTTTTTTTTACATTCCACGGGGTTCTAAAGAATGCTCCCGCTGTTTTTGTTGTTGTTCGGAAGTTCCTTTTTCTGGAATGCTGGAAATTTCTGGAGTATGTTCTCAAAGTTTCTGGATTTACCTTAGTTTTAAGTTCCGGAGTTCTAAACGTTGCTCCAGATGTTTATGTTGTTTCAAAATTTCCTTTTTCTGGAGTGTTGGAGGTTTCTGGAGTTACGAGAGCTCTGAAAGTTCTCAATGTTTCTGGATTTACCGTGTTTTTTTTACATTCTCCGGAGTTCTAACGGTTGCTCCAGGAGTTTCTTGTGTTTGAATAGTTTCGTGTTCTGGAATGCTGAAATTTCCGGAGTATTGAGAATTCTTCAAATTCTGATTGTTCTCAAAGATTCTGCATTTACCGTTGTTTTAATCACATTCTTAGGAGTTCTAAAGGTTGCTCCAGGAGTTTCTGCTGTTTCAAAAGTTCTTTTTTTTTCTGGAGTGCTGGAGGTTTCCGGAGTTACGAGAGCTCTGAAAGTTTTCAAAGTTTCTGGATTTACCGTAGTTTTTACATTCTCCGGAGTTCTAAAGATTGCTCCAGAAGTCTATGCTGTTCAAAATTTCCATTTTCTGGAGTGCTGGAAGTTTTCGGAGTATCGAGAATTCTTCAAATTCTGAAAGTTCCCAAAGTTTCCGGATTTACAGTGTTTGTTTTTGCATTCTCTGGATTTCTAAAGGTTGCTCCAGAAGTTTATGCTGTTTCAAAATTTCCATTTTCTGGAGTGCTGGAAGTTTTCGGAGTATCGAGAATTCTTCAAATTCTGAAAGTTCCCAAAGTTTCTGGATTTATAGTGTTTATTTTTTTACATTCTCCGGAGTTCTAAAGGTTGCTCCAGGCGGTTCTGCTATTTCAAAAGTTCCTTATTCTGGAGTGCTGGAAGTTTCCGGAGTATCGAGAATTCTCCAAATTCTGAAAGATCGCAAAGTTTCTGGATTTACCGTATTTTATTTTTTTTTACATTCCACGGGGTTCTAAAAATTGCTCCCGCTGTTTTTGTTGTTGTTTGGATGTTCCTATTTCTGGAGTGCTGGAAATTTCCGGAGTATCGAGAATTCTTCAAATTCTGAATGTTATCAAAGTTTCTGGATTTACCGTGGTTTTAATCACATTCTCCGGAGTTCTAAGGGTTGCTCCAGGAGTTTGTGTTGTTTCAAAAGTTCCTTTTCCTGGAGTGCTGGAAGTTTCTGAAGTATCGAGAATTCTTCAAGTTCTGAAAGTTCTCAATGTTTCTGGATTTACCGTGTTTTTTTTTTACATTCTCCGGAGTTCTAAAGGTTGCTCCAGAAGTTTCTTGTGTTTTAATAGTTTCGTGTTCTGGAATACTGAAATTTTTGGAGTATCGAGAATTCTTCAAATTCTGAATGTTCTCAAAGTTTCTGGATTTACCGTTGTTTTAATCACATTCTTCGGAGTTCTAAAGATTGCTCCAGGAGTTTCTGCTATTTCAAAAATTCTTTTTTTCTGGAGTGCTGGAGGTTTCCGGAGTTACGAGAGCTCTGAAAGTTCTCAAAGTTTCTGGATTTACCGTAGTTTTTTTTCGCATTCTCCGGAGTTCTAAAGGTTGCTCCAGAATTTTTTTGTGTTTCAATAGTTTCGTGTTCTGGAATGATGAAATTTCCGGAGTATCGAGAATTCTTCAAATTCTGAATTTTATCAAAGTTTAGAGATTTACCGTACTTTTAATCACATTCTCTGGAGTTTCAAGGGTTGCTCCAGGTGTTTCTGCTGTTCCAAAAGTTCTTTTTTCTGGAGTGCTGGAGGTTTCCGGAGTTACTGCTGTTTCATAGGTTCTTTTTTTCTGGAGTGCTGGAGGTTTCCGGAGTTACTAGAGAATTATTCAAATTCTGAAAGATCCCAAAGTTTCTGGATTTACCGTAGTTGTTTTTTTTTTACATTCGCTGGAGTTACTCCAGGAGTTTCTGCTATTTCAAAAGTTGCTTATTCTGGAGTGCTGAAAGTTTTCTGAGTATCAAGGATTCTTGAAATTCTGAAAATTCTTAAAGTTTCTGGATTTACCGTAGTTTTAATTGCGTCGTCCGGAGTTCTGAAGGTTGCTCCAGAAGTTTCTGCTTTTTCGGAAGATCTTTATTGTAGAGTGCGGGAAGTTTCTGGATTGACCGTACTTTTTTTTTACATTCTCCGGAGTTGTA